AACATAACTATATATATTATAAGTAAATAAAAGAACCTCATACAAATTAACCGTCATTCATTTTCAGACACACATTATGATGATCAACTTGAATCTCCGTCCTTTAATTAATACCAACTAAAAATATCAAATAAAATCATAAAGCAAAAATACCAGTTACAACCAAAAATAGAAAATAAAACCAAAAATACTAAATAAAACCAAATAAGTTTCATTTAAATTATCAAAATTAAATTAAAAACAATTTCGAAATTATACAAACATAATTGTATCCATCACCCAACTATTACAATACCAATGAGCGAGAATTGAAAAAACCCGAGGAGTTTGATTATGTCGAAAAGATTGTCCATGGGAATCGTAATATCTCTCTTTCTCTCTCGGACCGATAATTGGCTTTAAGGAATGTGAACCCCTTTTTCTTGCCGCTTATATGTTCTCTAGCGATATCGGGGTAGGATATATACGTAACGAGATAATTAATGCACCGCGTGGAATTAGCCGATTTACATGAGAGTCGAGGACATCAGTCTCGGTGAAGAGGTGCCGCGCTGACGACAGGAAACTCCGGTTACACTGCGGAAACAAATGAGCCGGCTTCATCTAAAAGTCAGAAAAAGAATGTGTGCGGTCAAATCAACACTATAGATTTCCTCATAAAAAAAAGAATTCGTAAATTTCTTCTCTTAAATACAAAAATTAAATTCCATCACGTTTATATAGACAATATTTCAACCGATGCTCGGTTGAATCATATTAATGTGGAAAATAAAAATCTATTTTAGAATATTAATTGTTTACCAAAATAATAATTTACAACAATCAGTAATTAATTGTATTTTAATAATACAACCAAAAATTATTAAATCTATATTAATAATCGTTGTATTCCGGTAATCTGTTCGCAGTTTGAAGTTTTGCTGTTTGCTTTTTTGTTTCCTGACTTTTGAAATAATTTTCCTTTTCAAAAGTTTACAATTTTAAAATTAATGTACATTTTAAAATAGTAAATTAATTAATTTACAAATCATTGAATTATTCTTGTAAAGTATTTATAAAAAAATTTGAAAATAATTGAATTCATGGTAGGTCGTCGCTTTTTAAAAAAATAATTTCTAATCCTTTTTGTCTAAAAAAAAGCAATTTCTAATGAAATCTGATTTCTTAAAAAAGTTCTTCTAAAAAGTTATGACTTCTAATATTTATTTTCCTAAAATTTGTAAAATTGCATAATTATGATAAAAGTTAGAAAATAGTTAAAAAAAAAATTAAGATTAAGAAATAGAAACTATTTTGCATATTTTCTGTTTCTCAATCATAATTTTGTTTATACAAAATAATAAGTTTCTTTTTGAAAAAGTAGAAATTTTTTTATAAAATTACAATTTCTTATCACAATTTGTTAACAAAATTCTGTTCATTTTTGAAAAAAAAAATTTGCATCATTTTTATACCAAAATTTCTTATATTAATTTATTTATAAAACATTTTTAAAAAAAATTTTAAATATCTTTAGGAAAAAAATCCTTATAATTTATTAATTATGATTTTTAACTAGATTATTTAAAAATTTTGTTAAAAAATTTGCATAATTTTTATTTTTTATTATAATTTTTTAACGAAATTTTAAATATTGTTAGAAAAAAAAATGTTTCAAAATTACCTTTATTAGAAAAAGAAATTTTAAAAAAATGACCTTTATTAAAAGAAAGAAAATTAGAATATCACCTTTATTAGAAAAAAGTTTTTTTAAAAATTCACATTTATTAGAAAAAAAATTTTTAGAAAAAAAATTTTTAGAAAATAAAAAATTAGAAAATACGTATTAGAAAAATTGTACCCCAACCGAATTCATTTCAAGAATTTTATCAACTTTTTTTCAATAATTGAATTCCTTCAAGAAAATGTAATTAAAATTGTTTTGAAAATAATTTAATTCTTGGAAAGATTTTTAATAAAATTCTTTAAAATAATTGAATTGTTTTAAAGAATTTATTTCTATATTCTTGAAAATAGTGGAGTTTTTAAAATAATTTTTACTAAAAATTTTGAAAATAATTGAAATTTACAAAAAATTTTGATTAAAGAATTAAAAAAACTAAAAATTTTTGATTAAAATTAAAAAGAACAATTAAATTGTTTAGAAAATTTTTTTTACAATTTTTAAAAATAATTAAACTTGTTAGAGAAATTTTATTAAAATTATCTTGAATATAATTGAATTTTTTCCTAGAAATTTTATTAAAATTGTATTGAAAATTGAATTTCTCAGTAGAATTTTATTATTTGCAAACATAATTGAATTCTTAACAAGAATTTTACAATTTATAAAAATAATTGAATTGTTTCGAAGAATATTTGAAAATAATTGAATTTAAAAAATATTTTTGAAAATAATTGTATTCTTTAGATAAATTTTATTAAAATTGTATTGAAAATAATTGAATTCATCTGAAACATTTTATTATTTATGAGAATAATTGAATTCCTTTGAAAAATTTTATTATTTATGAAAATATTTTAATTCTTTTGAAGAATTTTCTTAATTATGAAAATAATTAATTTATTGCAGAGCATTTTACAATTCATAAAAATAAATGAATTGTTTTGAAGAATTTTATCTAAATTTTTGAAAATAATTTAATTTTTTGAACGAATTTTATTAAAAATGTTTAAAATGATGATTTTCTAAAAAGAATTTCATCAAAATTGTTGAAAACAATTGAATTTATATTAAAATTCTTGAAAGTAATACAATTTAATTAATATTTTTAAATATTATATTAATATTATCGAGAAATTTTTTTAAATTGTATTGAAAATAATTGATTTGCTCCAAGAAATTTTATTATTTATGAGAATAATGAAATTCTTGTTAAAAATTATATTAAAATTTTTGAAAAATAATAAACAATAATATTTAATTATGTACTAAATAAGTGAATTCTCTAAATTTTAAATCTGTAATAAAATTTCAATAAAATTGATTATACTAATATTCTAGAAAATTATATTCAAAAATCGAACAATAAAAATGTAAATTACATTTTCAATTTTATCCAAATTCGTGATAAACGTGAAGAGGAATTTGATAAATGTATACATGAAGAAGAAGAGTTTACTATTATTTGGAAAAGAGTTAGTATTTCCTGACTTGTTAGAAGAAGGACTAATTATGTTGAAAGTTGATTTTATGCATCCTGGAATTTCCAACGAGTACTAAGACCACCCTACAATTTTTTTTCCTAAGTAGCACTATACCTATGGCGGTTGAGCGACCTTAGTTTGTCGCGAGCCGGAGCCGCTAACGAGCAGGCCCGCTTCTCGAGCTGGCTTATATAAGTCTTATAAAGAGTAAAGCGATGGACCACACACGTGTGATCCTATCTGCAGTCTTCTCCTCGCTCTCTTCCTTTACTTTCTTTCCTTCCTTTATCCGAGGACGAGAGACATCTTGCCACGCAGAGTAAATCCCCGAAGAGGGAAACTAGAGCGCGACATCGCAAACGAATAACTGTTGTTTACATTCACTTCCCAAACAAGTAATAATTTTTTAGAAATTATTTCACATTTTCCCCATTTCATCAAGTTTGTGAAATTATAAACTTATAAAGTTGTTGTTGTCGAATTGTTGAGAAATAAATTATTATATTTTAGAGATTATCTAAATTTCAGAGTAGGTATTCAATTTTTTTCAAGAAAAATAATATTTTAGAGTTTAAATCCGATTTTTATTTTTCTGATAACTTTTAGAGAATTTATTTCATAAATTAAAAAAATTTCTACTTTCTCTAATAAATTTTCTATTTACTTTGATAATATTTATTATTTATTATTTAATAATAATAAAAATAACAATGATAGTAAATTTCTACATTAATATAACTAGAACAAATTTGAATATCACAAAACGCGATATTCAATTTATTATTATGCAAATTACCCAATTTTTTATTTTCCAATTATCAACTTCAATTTTTGAATAAATTCAGATTCAAAATTTAAAATAATTCACTGATTAACTAATTAACTATTACTCTCTACTACTTTTAAAAGTTGTAATAAAATTTCTCGAAAGAATTTAATTATTTTAAAAAATTCTACACGGAGAGGAAATATATATTAAATTTTGTAAAAGTATTTTACAATTTGGGGGAAAAATGCAACAAACTGAAATTTTGACTTAGAAAATACTAAACAGTGAAAGAAATAATATATGAAATTTAGTTACATTATAATTTAAATAAAATTCTTATATTTCATAGAATTATACTAAATTTCAAATTAGCTTTTTAAAGTTTAGTATTTTTTATATCAAAATTTCGGTTTGTCGCATTTTTCCCAAAATTGTGAAATACTTTTACAAAATTTAATATAATTTTCTCTCCGTGTAATAAAATTCTTCGAAAAAATTCAATTATTTTCAAAAATTTTAATAAAATTCTTCGATGGAATTCAATTAATTTCCAAATTTTTAATAAAATTCTTTATAAGAAATTAATTATTATTAATATAATTTGAATTGAATTTCTCAAAATAATTCAATTATTTTAAAAAATTTTAATAAAATTCTTCGATAGAATTTAATTATTTTCAAAATTTTTAATAAAATTCTTTATTCTTCATAAGAATTCCAAGGAATTCAATTATTTTCAATGCAATTTTAATTAAATTCCTTCAAAGAATCAAATTATTTTCAAAAATGTTAATAAAAATAATTTGCATAATTATTATAATAATAAAGAAATAAATGAATTAATAATAATAATAATAAAATTTATAATAAAATATTATTTTTTCTTATATAACTATTATTTATTATTTATAATAAATAATATATAAGTACTTTAAAAAATTCTAAAATTCAATAAATTTCAATCCAATTTGCTAAAAGATAAAAATCTGTTTCTTCTATCTTTTTTCGTTTCTTTCAGAAAAATAAAAAATCGGATTTATACAACACTCTGTTTTCTTGATATATTAAAAAATACTGAACTCACCCCATTCTGTAGCAGGTCACAAAAGTTGAACCGAGAAAAAACAAAAAAATATTTATCTCTATTAATAATTTATAAAAAATCAAATTAATTTCGAGATGTTGCAATTTTATATCAGACTTATTAAATCATTGCAGGTGCGTACTTACCGAAGTTTCATTAACGCCTTTTATATAGTCCCTATATGTGCCAGCTATCAGTTTGACGATATCCTCATCTCCGTGTTTTGCGCCCCAGTGAAGTGCAGTCTGTAGAAAGTAAACCAAAAAAATTAATTTATTTGTATCATTGAAAAAAATAATTAAATAATTTTTTGTTGAGCTAAATGTCATTTTAATTTAATGAACAATATAAAATAATTTTAAACAAGACCTTTTCATTTTCGAAGAGAATATTATTTAAAAGCAGGTATATAAAGGTCAATGCAGAATCTGGTGTTTCTGAAAATAAATATTTCCCAAAAATAAATATTTTTAGAAGATAAATATTTGCAAAATGTAAATATTTTCAGAAAAAATAATTTTTCATAGGAAAAATTAATTCTCTCTCTCAGCAGACACTTTTTTTTGTAACATTCATTCGCATCGTAAGACTCGAGAAATGAAAGCACGAATGAAACAAAAAAAAATGGTAAAGAAATTAAAGACACGAGTAAATTTAAATTGTTGGTCGAAAATTTCGTTTCTAAGGCCATCGACCAATCGTCACCCTCGTCTCTGCCGTCTTTCGCGGATTCTGTGTACTATGGGGAAAGGTTGTAGACAAGACGTGAGCAGCTGTAGAGCGTATTTTCGCAATGTAAGTGAAATATTTGCGAATTAAGCGACGTCGACACGGGAAGACATTTTCTGAATGAATTGCGACAGCGCTTGCACTCGAGACTTGAAAATAAAAAATCAATCAACTTATATTCCCATTATATCCTCAACTTCTATTCGTCCAATTCTGAAATTAAAATGTTAAATATTAAAATTCCAATAATTTTTAGAGTAGGTAAAGCAGAATATTCTTTTGGGTGAGGGAAAAAGTCATGATTTTATCTGGAAATCAGGGAAAAACAAAATTAAATTTTTGTGGCAACCTTGTAAAAAAATATGGAAAAGAAATTAATCAATATGCAAAAGAAATTAAAATTATAAAAAAGATAAATGAAAATTATTAAAAAAAGAGAATATTAAAATTATAAGAAAGATAGTAAGAAGCAAATGATTTTCTATAATATCTTAATGGTAAATTTTATTACCTTGTAGACGAGCAGCAAATAAAATTTAATCGAGCGTAAAGGACGTGATGAAATTAAGCACTTAATTATGCCCGGATACCATTGATCATGGTTGATGTTTCGAAAAATTGCGTATGCAAATGCTAGTTTTTTTCGCATTCGTTCCAGTATTTAATTCCCTCACATATAACCGACATGTACGGTTCATTCTTTCGCACCAATAAAAATATATATACGATGTCTCTCCCGACGTGATTCGCAAGATTGCTCTTCCTTGGTGTCCATGTGTTTTAATCCAGCGTGTCCTCGGTGAATTAAAAAACAGTGTCTGAATTCCCTTCATGCGAGGTTGATGAAGCTGCGTGGACCTTCATTAGTAACGGAAAAGCTCATCCTAACAACACCCCCTCTAACAAAAGGTGGTGTATATACTAATGACGAACATGGCATTGTCCAGAATTTACTAAGAGATTCACAGATATACTTTTTCTAAAACAGAAAAAAAGAAACAGAAAAGAATTCAGGGTTGCCACGCTTTTGTTCATTTCAAATTCCCTAACTATTCCACGTTAAACAACGGAATTTTTCCAGGTTTTTAAAACTACATTTATATTTTACCAAATTATTATTTTTCCATAGGAATTAAGATTTTCAAAAATTCCAAATTCAATATCTTTTAAGAATATTATTATAAAACATGAAAATATCGATGACTTCGAGTCTTCGACTCGGAGTCATCGATTTCTTCATGTTTTATAATAATTAAAACTTGATTTTTTATTTTTAAATATTTAATTTAATTTAATTATTCTCAAAATATTTTTTAAAAATTCTATATGAAAATTAAATTACTTTCAATGCAATTTAAAAAAATATTCGTCAAAAAAATTGAAAGAATTCAATTATTTTTAAAAGATAATAAGATTCTTCTGATGAATACAATTATTTTGAATATGCATAATTTTAATAAAAATATTTTCCAGAAATTCAATTATTTTTTAAACAATTTTAAATTTTTTAATTGAATTTCTCGAAAGAATTTAATTATGTATTTTCAAATATTTCTATAAAATTCTTCAAAACAATTCAATTTTTCTTAATATTTTAATAAACTCCTTGTTTATTTTAACTGTTTCTATAAATAGTAAAATTCTTTGTAGAAATTCAGTTATTTTCAAAACAATTTTAATAGAATTCCTCAAAAGAATTAAATTGTTTTCAAAACAATCTTAATAGAATTCCTCAAAAAAATTAAATTATTTTTAGATATTTACATAAAATTCATTTATTTTCTAAAATTTTAATAAATTCTTCAGAACAATTCAATTATTTTTATAAATTAGTAAAATTATTTGCAAGAATTAAATTATTTTTATAAATAATAAAATTCTTCTCAGGAATTCAAATATTTTTAATACAATTTTAATAAAATCGTTCTTCATAAAATTGCTATAAAGCAATTTTCATTCAAATTTTTGAAAATAATTTAATTCTTTGAAGAAATTCAATTAAAAATGCTTTGAAAATAATTAAAATTTACAAAGAATTTTGATTAAAAAATTAAAAAGAACAATTGAATTGTTTAGAAAAATTTTACTACAATTTTTAAAAATAATTGAACCTGATAGAGAAATTTTATTAAAACTATTTTGAATATAGTTGAATTTCCTCCTACAAATTTTATTAAAATTGTATTGAAAATAATTGTATTTCTTAGTAGAATTTTATTTTTTACAAACATAATTGAATTCTTGCCAAGAATTTTACAGTTTATAAAAATAATTTTATTATTTACGAAAATAATTGAATTCCAAAAAAAAATTTTATTATTTACGAAAATATGTAATTGAATCCTTGTAAAAAATTTTATTATTTATGAAAATAATTGAATAATAATTTATGAAAATAATTGAATAATAATTTATGAAAATAAATGAATAATAATTTATGGAACATATTTGAATAATAATTTATGAAAATAATTTTTATTTAAGTAGTAGATATTAAAAATCATTGAATTGAGGAAAGTTTTTGAAAAAAAAATTGAAATTTTGCCAAGAATTTATTAAAATTTTCGAAAATAATTGAATTTCAGAAAAGAATTTTACTACTTTTGAAAATAGTTGAATTTCTGCAATAATTTGTAATTGCTTCAAAATTTAATTTCTTTTAGTGTTTTGAACTAAAATTCTTCTATAAATTAATTATTTTTTAATAACTAGTTAAATATATATTAAAAAAATGTAACTAATTTCAGAAGAATTTGAATTATTAAAATTTTTCAGAAATCTACGTTCTTCAAGATTTCTAATAAAATTCATTCAAAATTAAAATTTTACAAAATTCAAAATTAAAACCCTTTGAAGTTCATCTACTCATGAAAATTGTAAACTCTTTTAAAATTGAATTAATTTTGAAATATTCAAGTAAAATGAGATTTCAAGAATAAACACAATAACTTTAGTTTTTTTCAAGGTTTTTAAAATTCCCTGAAATTTCTAGGTTTTCCAGGTTGCGTGGCAACCCTGAAAACACAGTGACAGAAATTTCAGAAGAGGAAACGAAAAGAGTAAAAGGAACTAAAAGAAACTTTCTAAATAGTAAACTCAGTTTAAAAATTGTGAAAAAAAATGTTAACTGTGCGATTCCATGGGAGATTTTAGTTTTTTCGGAGTAAGTAAACCAATTGCAATGAAACTTAGGAATTTTAATCTACACATAAAAAGAAACATTTCCACCAAATATTACGTCAAAATATTCAGTAGTTTTTGAGATGTCAAAATTTTGGAAAAATTTTGAAATCGTTATATCTTCTTTCCATCTTAACCAAATCACTTAATTCTTTTTGGAAAAAATTCAGCATAAAAAAACGAAAAAATTTTTCATATTATGTTTATAAAAAATTTTTATAAACAAAAAAGTTATTAAATAATAATTGAATAACTTTTGCACGACTAAACGAAATTGATTGAGACAAACACTGAACAAATCTTCACTGTGGTTTTTTTAAGATTCCGAAAAAAACATGGTACATCACGAAACATTTTTATACAATATTTTAATATTTTTGTTCACTTTTGAGCGTAAACATTAAAAGTTTCTGCTACTTTACGTGCAATTTCAGATGCGCGCGCAGACCTCTCTTTCTAATCATCTACGAATTTCCGGTTTCAGAGAGAGAGGTCTGCGCGCGCATCTGAATTTGCACGTAAAGTAGCAGAAACTTTTAATGTTTACGCTCAAAAGTGAACAAAAATATTAAAATATTGTATAAAAATGTTTCGTGATGTACCATGTTTTTTTCGGAATCTTAAAAAAACCACAGTGAAGATTTGTTCAGTGTTTGTCTCAATCAATTTCGTTTAGTCGTGCAAAAGTTATTCAATTATTATTTAATAACTTTTTTGTTTATAAAAATTTTTTATAAACATAATATGAAAAATTTTTTCGTTTTTTTATGCTGAATTTTTTCCAAAAAGAATTAAGTGATTTGGTTAAGATGGAAAGAAGATATAACGATTTCAAAATTTTTCCAAAATTTTGACATCTCAAAAACTACTGAATATTTTGACGTAATATTTGGTGGAAATGTTTCTTTTTATGTGTAGATTAAAATTCCTAAGTTTCATTGCAATTGGTTTACTTACTCCGAAAAAACTAAAATCTCCCATGGAATCGCACAACTTACAATTTTGATGATTTTTATGTCAGAGTAGAAAATATGTTTTCTTTTTTTCCCGAGGAAAAATTGAGAGTTTTTTGAAAATTCAACGTGACCTTTTGCACCTTCGGCTCTCGGTCTCATCCCCTTGGTTAGTATAACTAACCCAGCTGCCGTCTACTTTCAGTATGCTAACGAAGTTTTATGAAGCGCGATAGCGCCATACCTTCCGCCACTGACTTTGGCGCTCCTTAATTTGTGAATGCTGCACCCTGTCGGGGTTTCGCACCGTAAAAGAATGGTATGTTTGCCGACACAATGATAAATCTTTGCCCCTGTACCAAGGACTCTCAATATGGTATGTA